GAGAAAGTTGGCCAACACACTAGAGAAGAGAGAAAAACATAGGAGGAAGGCAAGCAACTCACCAGCTGGAGTCATCCTCCGAGGTGCAACCTTCTGCTGCGGAGGAGACAGCGTTCCTGGCCAGAGAAATGAGCAGCCCCTGAAAATGGGGACCTTGTCTCTCTCGTAACCACAGCTGGTCAGGAACCATTTCTTACAAACCGAGCCCCAGATAATGGGGCGTTCCTACCTGGAGCCAGGCGGGCCATGAGCAAAGCCTTAACCAAACCAGACACTTATCTCACTGACATTAGCGACTGCTCCACTGCCAACTGGATGACTCCTGGCTTGCATTAACAATGCTCGTGGGCTCACTGCTCTCGCTCGCTTTCCATCCGATGTGGGGAGGAAACTCTTTGTACTAAACCCAGACCAAGGAGGAAAAAGAAATAAGTTACCATCTCAGTAGGCAACATCGCGTAGGCTATTCTTTTCTCCTCTCCCACATGGCAGCATTCTGCCCCAACCTCCCCCCCATTAGGCCTTTAGTACTACAACTAGAAAGCACCCCTTGGAATGGCACCCGAAATAATCACTCTGCACAGCAGACTCTGGCCCCTCATCAGCCGTAATCTCACAGAGCCCCATACACAAAGAGGAAGCAAACGGCCTCTGAAAAATACTGCAGCCAGCACAGATGAGGAATTCAAAGCACTGAGCCCTTACTCACAGCCAGTTATGCGGGAGACAGAAAGCTGATGACTCTTCATGTCTGCTTAGAAGGAGTTCCAAGCTGCTTAGGTACACCTCAGCCACTTCCCCTCTGGCTAGGACTCCTGGACAATTCCTCTACGAGAGTAGCTGCAAAAGCCAACCATGAGCTATCATTAAACAAAGCTCAATTGGTGCTAGAAATCCTGCCCTCATCCATGCATTGGCCCCACTCGATGAACAGAGATAGGGTTAACACCGACAGTGTTAACAGGGTCCCACACTAGCACGGACTTCCCTGCATGACTTTTGTCCGCTCCTACTCCTCCATGGCTCCTGAGACCTCACTTGTGGGAATGCACACCTACCCGTGTCCTATGAAGGGAGACGGCACAAGGAGAGAAGAGAAGATGAGAGAAAGAGAGAGTTAGCGAACACACTAGAGAAGACAGAGAAAGCCGAGTGTGATTTTTGTGAGCCGTGTGTGATTTGTGTGTGCGCGCGCCGTGGGCAATTTGTGTGCGATTAGTGCGTGCCGTGGGCGATTTGTGTGCAATTTCTGTGCACCGTGGGGGAGTGTGCGCGCCGTGGGCGATTTGTGGGCGCACCATGGGCGACTTGTGCGCGATGTGTGGGCGCGCCGTGGGCGCGCCGTGGGCGACTTGTGGGCGACTTGTGCGCGCGATGTGTGGGCGACTTGGGGGCGACTTGTGTGCGCGATGTGTGGGCGACTTGGGGGCGACGTGTGGGCGCGTGGTGGGCGCGCCGTGGGCGCCGTGTGCGACTTGTGTGCGATTTGTGTGTGCCATGGGCGACTTGTGGGCTATTTGTGGGCGATGTGTGGGCGACTTGTATGCGACTTGTGGGCGATTTGTGCGCTCCGTGGGCGCGCCTTGGGCGATGTGTGGGCGCGCCTTGGGCGATTTGTGGGCGCGCCTTGGGCGATGTGTGCGTGCGCCGTGGGTGATGTGTGGGCGCGCCGGGGGCAATGTGTGGGCGCGCCAGGGGCGATTTGTGGGCTATTTGTGCGCGCGCCGTGGGCGATTTGTGGGCGATTAGTGCGCGCCGTGGTCGATTTGTGTGCAATTTCTGTGCACCGTGGGCGATTTGTGGGCGCGCTGTGGGCGACTTGTGGGCGCGACTTGTGGGCGACTTGTGGGCGCGCCCTGGGCGACTTGTGGGCGACTTGTGCGCGCGCCGTGGGCGCGCCAGGGGCGATTTGTGGGCTATTTGTGCGCGCGCCAGGAGCGATTTGTGGGCTATTTGTGCGCGCGCCAGGGGCGATTTGTGGGCTATTTGTGTGCGATTAGTGGGCGCTGTGGGCGATTTGTGTGCAATTTCTGTGCACCATGGGGGAGTGTGCGCGCCGTGGGCGATTTGTGGGCGCGCCGTGGGCGACTTGTGGGCGATTTGTGCGCGCGACGTGTGGGCGCGCCCTGGGCGACTTGTGGGCGCGCCATGGGCGACTTGTGGGCGACTTGTGTGCGATTTGTGGGCGACTTGTGTGCAATTAGTGGGCGCCGTGGGCGACTTGTGTGCGATTTGTGCGCTCCGTGGGCGCGCCTTGGGCGATGTGTGGGCGTGCCTTGGGCGATGTGTGGGCGCGCCGGGGCCAATGTGTGGGCGCGCCAGGGGCGATTTGTGGGCTATTTGTGGGTGCGCCGGGGGCCATTTGTGGGTGCGCTGGGGGCGCTCCGTGCATTCTTTTTGTGCGCCGTGTGCGCTTTCTGTGTGTCATTTTGCGTGCCATTTGACGTGTTCTGTGTCTTGTTGCGTGCGTGTGACGTACGTGAAACGTGCTGTGTCTTGTGTCTGTGTCGTGTCATGTGTGACGTGACGTGTCGTGTGACGTGATGTGTGACGTGTCGTGTTTTCTTGAGTGTTCTGTTTAGTGTGTGTGTGACGTGTCCGGTGAGAGTGTGGTGCCGTTTTGTGAGTCGTGTGTGAGTGTGTGATTTGTGTGTCCTGTTGTGTGCCATTTTGTGGGTCGTCTGACGTCTTGTGTTTGTGTGAGATGTGTCGTGTGAGGCATATGTCGTGAGAGTGGTGCCGTTTTGTGAGTCGTGTGAGTGTGTCATGTATGTCATGTGTGAGTGTGTCGTGTGTGATTTGTGTGTCCTGTTGTGTGCCATTTTGTGGGTCGTGTGACGTGTTGTGTTTGTGTGAGATGTGTTGTGTTTTGTGTGCCCTTTGTGTGTCGTGTTGTGCGCGCCATTTTTGTGTGTCGCGTTGTGTGAGGCGGTGTGTCGTGTTGTGTGTGTCGCGTTGTGTGTCATGTGAGGCGGTGTGTCGCTGTCGTGTGTGCCGTTTGTGTGTCGTGTTGTGTGAGGCGGTGTGTCATGTGTCGCTGTCATGTGTGATTTGTGTCGTTTTGTGTGCTGTTTTGTGTGTCATGTGACGTGTTGTGTGCCGGTGTCATGTGCCATGTGAGGTGTTGTGTGTCGTGTTGTCTGCTGTTGTGTGCCATTTTGTGTGTGACGTGTTGTCTGCCGTTGTGTCGTGTGACATGTGTTTGTGTATGTGCGACGTGAGATGCGCAACATGCCTGCGATGCGCGACGTGCTGTGTGTGAGACGTGCGATGTCTTGTGCGATATATGACATGCGGTGTACAACCTGTTATGTGCTGGGTGTGCCACCTGCAACGTGCTGTGTGCAACGTGTTGTGTGTGTGCGATGTACATGCGACGTGTGCCACATGCGACGTGTGGTGTGTGTGTTGTGTATGATGTTTTATGTGCTGTTTTCTGTCATGTGACGTGTTGTGTGTGTCGTGTTGCGTGCGTGTGCCATGTACATGCGACACGTATGTGCGATATGTCATGTGAGGTGTTGTGTGTGTGTGTGGGTATTGTGTGTCGTGTGCGATTTTTGTGTCGTGTTGTGTGCCGTTTTGTGTGTCATGTGAGGTGTCGTGTGTCATGTTGTGTGTGTGTCGGTATCATGTGTTGTGTGTGATTTTTGTGTCGGGTTGTGTGCCGTTTTGTGTGTCATGTAGTGTGTGTCACGTGTCGTGTGTGCGCGCGACGTTTGTGTGCGTCCACGTGTGCGATGTGTTGTGCATGTCCGTGTGGGAAGTGCAAAGTGTGATGAATCAACTTGCCACCCCCTTCCCCAACACTTTAGCCTGCTCGTAAACATGACCCTACCCCCTCCCTAGGGTGTTACTGACACTAAAACGACTTAAAGGCCCCCGACTTATCACTACTGGTTGGCACCCAATTGCCACCAGCACTTCTATGCTGCTGCTGGCCAAACCCTCTCCCCAAAATCTATACCTCACCCCCTACCCTGAACCCAACTGGAACCCTTACCCTATAACCTGGTCCCCAACTCTAAACCCCTGACCCAAAACTGTAGCCCAATCCTCACCCCAACCCTAACCTCCAGCTCTGAACCCAGCCCCTCTAAGCCTGACACCACTTTAAGCCAGAGCCCAGTTCCCCATTCCACCCTGTGCAACAACAGTACAAACCACACCCTCCTACCCCCCCCCCCCCCGCCCAGGAATCCTGCTTCTTACCACCACTTGTTTCGAAATTAACTTTTTTTTCATTTGCATTCCACAAACCTTCATTCTCATTTGATGGGTTATTTAGTTACAGGGGTATACACAATGCAACTCTTTGCTATAACATTGTAACAGGACACAGATAAGTGAAAACAGTGCAAATAACATTCCACTAGTTTTCAGGAGGTTTAAACACCCAATACATTTGAACATTTAACAATTATTTTGCTCTATACTAATACACACATCAATTGGCCTGAATACACTCTGACATAAGCTGCTCTGCCAGCATCACACCTTGTACAAACATTACTGCAATAGTGTGTAGGGCAGCGTGACCTCGGGGGCCTGTGAGCTGGTTTCAGGGGGTCTGCAGGACCCCACAGCTGAAGCACAGAGCCCCCACACCTCCCTCAGGGCAAAAGCCCGGAGCCCCAATGCTCCCCACTCCTCAGGGCAGAACCCCAGAGCTGCCCCCCACCACAGCTGGGTCCTGGAGTTTTTATAGCATGTTGAGTGGGGTGGGGGGAGTGAAGTGCTCTAGCGAGGTGGGTCACCTTTTTTATAGGGCACAAGTGCCGGAAATCCTTCCTCCTATGCCTATATTTTATTCCTCACCCACAACTGTGCATACTGATGACACGTATATACGCACGTTAAGTTTCCTTGTGATGTTCCTGTTAAGCCTGTGGGTACCACCTTAAAAAAACCCCCTATGCCATTCTTCATTATCTGTTGGTCTAGACAAAAGGTTATAGACTTATGTGTGAATACTTATTTATTTAGGTAACAAGATATAGGTTAACTTTATTTTTCTGGGTAAATGGTCTTAATATAGATGTGTTAACTGTCCTTAGCTTAACATACAGCATATGGCCTTTAGGTCTCTTGCGTTACAGCCAAGCTTACTTTAATATAAATCTCTAAACCTATTACAATAAACCAAATACTTAAACATATACGAAAAAAAATATATCTATGCAAGCAAGCAGGTTAGTCCTATTGGCTACACGACTCAGAATCAGGACAAGAGATTCTCCCATTGCATTCTCCTGAGCCATTCAAACCTCCTTCACTCATTAGTTTTGAGTCATATTATTTACAAAAGTTCTAGTATTGTCGTAACGGAAAAAACCAAAAAACAAACAAACCAGCCAGCCTCTGCAGCCCATCTGCAAACCAGCCAGCCCAATCTGCAGCCCATCTGCAAACCAGCCAGCCTCTGCAGCCCATCTGCAAACAATCCCATCTCAGTAGGAAAAGTCCTACAACAGGCTTTGCCAACAGTTGGAAACTGGGATTTAAACTCCAAATGATCTCACTGTATTTCAGAACCATTCAAATTCCCCATCCAGGTCTGTGATACTTTCATCTCAGACCCTAAATTACTGTTTTAGGAGCAAAGAAAACAAACTGTGATCCACAAACAAAGGGCTGAGAACCCTGAATCATAGGACACATTGAGCACTGGAACTGTAGAAAGTGGAGAAGATCAATTCTACATGGCTTAAAAAGAGGAAACGCTGCTGGGGTAATTCGGCAGGTGGGAATCCCTCCGACTCATCACTTCACTTGTCACAGAGGTTGAAAACACACACTCTTCCCCCCACCCCCCAAGTCACAGAGTCACCAGGCGATGCTCTGGAACTACTCCATATGAAGCCAGTCAGGACTCTGGGGGAGCATGACTCCTCTCTCTCAGCACACTGTCACCAGGGCAAGAAGCTTACACAACTTCGACCTTCCTGGGTCTGACCTCGAAGTATTCAGCATCCCCTTCCACACCGTGTGCTTCCCGCAGCGAGTCCGCCCGGATGGGGCTCCTGGGGAAGCCAGAGGGCCCTGCCCCCCAGTGACTCTCAGCCAGCCGGTAAAAAGAAGGTTTATTATTCAACAGGAGCATGGCGTACAACAGAACTTGTTAGCACATAAATCAGTGACTTTCGATCAAGTCCATCTTGGGGAGTCGTGGGCCAGATGCCCTGGACTCCCTCTCTTCCAGTTCCCCCAAGCACACTGCCACCTTCCAGCAACCCAAATTCAGACACCCCCATTGCTCCTCCTCCTTGTCTTTGTCTCGCTTTCTGGGCAAAGAGTCACCTGGTCGCACCCCATTCCTGGGTCTCAGGTTACGAAGGGCACCGTGTGAGAGGTTCAGTCACAGAGACCCCCTTGGGACTGTTACGTGATGTGCTGAAATGACCTCTGAGCCCGTTTTACCTACCAGCTTGGGACTTCCAAAACCCTGTCTTGTTGAGCCAGACATGCTAGCCTGCTGCAACACAGCCCCAGGGTCTGAAGCATGCCCCCAAAGCTGCAGGCTTTAAGTGAAAACAGCTCAGCAGCTTCCTTGTCTCCAGCACCCAGACAACAAGTTCCCAATGGGATCCAACCCCCAAATAAATCCATTTTACTCTGTATAAAGCTTATACAGAGTAAATTCATAAATTGTCCACCGTCTGTAACACTAATAGAGAGATCATAGAATATCAGAGTTGGAAGGGACCTCAGGAGATCATATAATCCAACCCACTGCTCAAAGCAGGACCAATCCCCAATTTTTTTTGCCCCAGATCCCTAAATGGCCTCCTTAAGGACTGAACTCACAACCCTGGGTTTGGCAGGCCAATGCTCAAACCACTGAGCTATCCCTCCCCCAGATATGCACAGCTGTTTGCTCCACCAGGTATTCATCACTTACTCTAGGTTTATTAGTAAACAAAAATGATGTTAAGTATAAAAATCAGGATTTAAGTGGTTTCAAGTAATAACAGACAGAACAAAGTAAGTCACAAAGCAAAATAAAGCAAAAACACGCAAGTCTAAGCCTAATACATTAAGAAACTGATTACAGGTAATATCTCACCCTCAGAGATGTTCCAATAAACTTCTTTCACAGATTAGACTCCTTTCTAGTCCGGGCCCGATCCTTTCACCAGGTAGTGTTAGTTCCAGCAGACATCTCAGGTGGTAAGCAGGGGATTTCTCATGACTGGCCCCCTTTGTCCTGCTCCACCCCCTTTTATAGCTTTGGCACAAGGCAGGAATCTTTTGTCTCTGTGCATCCCCACCCCTCCTTCTAAATGGAAAACTACCAGGTTTAATATGGATTTCATTTTCAGGTGACAGTCACATGTCACTGTAAGACCCCTAGTCTCCATTCCCCATGGGCTGGCCCACACATACACAGGAAGTCTTTCAAGTAACTTAGGTCATTTACAACTGATTGTTTCTGGAGCACCCTTAATGGCCTCCACTTAATATGTTTACATCAGTGATACAAGTTTATATCTTATTCTCCTAGCTCCAGATATAGAGATAATACATGCAAACAAATAGGATGAACACTTTGTAGCTTACGAGCTTTCTAATGACACCACACAAGGGGTATTTAGTATAAACCAAATTCCAGTTCTGTTATATACATAAGCATATTTCCATAAAGCATACGGACTGCAACATCACACAGCCTCACCAGCCTCAGATGTCTCAGCCAAAGTCATATACCCCTATTTCCACCACTGAGGTATGGGTGCAGCACACAGGAAAACTGAAGCGCACACAGTATTCATGAAAAACAGTAAAACTCACATAGGCTCGACAGTAAGACTCACAAACAACATAAGGGAAAATCCCCTCTTAGTCACACCCTCTATCCCTGCAACTTCTCTGTTATATTTATATTGAGAAAAATGGTACAAAACCCATCTGCTATTGAGCAGAAACCAGTGCAATGTGGGAACAACTGGGAATGAGGCAATCTGTCCCTAATGGGTGAACCTGAAGACTAACCATCACTTTGTAGTAGGAGGAAAAGTATAAATGTGATGCTCCAAATTTGGTTAGACTAGGAAAAGTGATGGAGACTGTGTCCAGTGCTGAGGAATCACAGAATCATAGAATATCAGGGTTGGAAGGGACCTCAGGAGGTCATCTAGTCCAACCCCCTGCTCAAAATCAGGACCAATCCCCAATTAAATCATCCCAGCCAGGGCTTTGTCAAGCCTGACCTTAAAAACTTCTAAGGAAGGAGATTCCACCACCTCCCCAGGCAACGCATTCCAGTGTTTCACTACCCTCTTAGTGAAAAAGTTTTTCCTAATATCCAACCTAAACCTCCCCCACTGCAACTTGAGACAATTACTCCCTGTTCTGTCATCTGGTACCACTGAGAACAGTCTAGATCCATCCTCTTTGGAATCCCCTTTCAGGTAGTTGAAAGCAGCTATCAAATTCCCCCTCATTCTTCTCTTCTGCAGACGAAATAATCCCAGTTCCCTCAGCCTCTCCTCATGAGTCATGTGTTCCAGACCCCTAATCATTTTTGTTGCCCTTCGCTGGACTCTTTCCAATTTTTCCACATCCTTCTTGTAGCGTGGGGCCCAAAACTGGACACAGTACTCCAGATGAGGCCTCAGCAATATCGAATAGAGGGGGACGATCACGTCCCTCGATCTGCTCGCTATGTCCCTACTTATACATCCCAAAATGCCATTGGCCTTCTTGGCAACAAGGGCACACTGCTGACTCATATCCAGCTTCTCGTCCACTGTCACCCCTAGGTCCTTTTCCGCAGAGCTGCTGCCTAGCCATTCGGTCCCTAGTCTGTAGCTGTGCATTGGGTTCTTCCGTCCTAAGTGCAGGACCTTGCACTTATCCTTATTGAACCTCATCAGATTTCTTTTGGCCCAATCCTCCAATTTGTCTAGGTCCCTCTGTATCCTATCCCTGCCCTCCAGCATATCTACCGCTCCTCCCAGTTTAGTATCATCCGCAAATTTGCTGAGAGTGCAATCCACACCATCCTCCAGATCATTTATGAAGATATTGAACAAAACCGGCCCCAGGACCGACCCCTGGGGCACTCCACTTGACACCGGCTGCCAACTAGACATGGAGCCATTGATCACTACCCGTTGAGCCCGACAATCTAGCCAACTTTCTACCCACCTTATAGTGCATTCATCCAGCCCACATTTCTTTAACTTGCTGACAAGAATACTGTGGGAGACCGTGTCAGAAGCTTTGCTAAAGTCAAGAAACAATACATCCACTGCTTTCCCTTCATCCACAGAACCAGTAATCTCATCATAGAAGGCGATTAGATTAGTCAGGCATGACCTTCCCTTGGTGAATCCATGCTGACTGTTCCTGATCACTTTCCTCTCATGTAAGTGCTTCAGGATTGATTCTTTGAGGACCTGCTCCATGATTTTTCCAGGGACTGAAGTGAGGCTGACTGGCCTGTAGTTCCCAGGATCCTCCTTCTTCCCTTTTTTAAAGATTGGCACTACATTAGCCTTTTTCCAGTCATCAGGGACTTCCCCCGTTCGCCACAAGTTTTCAAAGATAATGGCCAATGGCTCTGCAATCACAGCCGCCAGTTCCTTCAGCACTCTCGGGTGCAACTCGTCCGGCCCCATGGACTTGTGCACGTCCAGCTTTTCTAAATAGTCCCTTACCACCTCTTTCTCCACAGAGGGCTGGCCATCTATTCCCCATGTTGTGATGCCCAGCGCAGCAGTCTGAGAGCTGACCTTGTTCCTGAAGACAGAGGCAAAAAAAGCATTGAGTACATTAGCTTTTTCCACATCCTCTGTCACTAGGTTGCCTCCCTCATTCATTAAGGGCCCACACTTTCCTTGGCTTTCTTCTTGTTGCCAACATACCTGAAGAAACCCTTCTTGTTACTCTTAACATCTCTCGCTAGCTGCAGCTCCAGGTGCGATTTGGCCCTCCTGATTTCATTCCTACATGCCCGAGCAATATTTTTATACTCTTCCCTGGTCATATGTCCAACCTTCCACTTCTTGTAAGCTTCTTTTTTATGTTTAAGATCCGCTAGGATTTCACCGTTAAGCCAAGCTGGTCGCCTGCCATATTTACTATTCTTTCGACACATCGGTATGGTTTGTCCCTGTAACCTCAACAGGGATTCCTTGAAATACAGCCAGCTCTCCTGGACTCCTTTCCCCTTCATGTTAGTCCCCCAGGGGATCCTACCCATCCGTTCCCTGAGGGAGTCGAAGTCTGCTTTCCTGAAGTCCAGGGTCTGTATCCTGCTGCTTACCTTTCTTTCCTGTGTCAGGATCCTGAACTCAACCAACTCATGGTCACTGCCTCCCAGATTCCCATCCACTTTTGCTTCCCCTACTAATTCTTCCTGGTTTGTGAGCAGCAGGTCAAGAAAAGCTCCCCCCCTAGGAAATTTGCTGCGTTACCCTGGCCACTATATGGGCTATTTTCTTTATTGAAAACATAGTTGCGTTTTTACATCAAGATTGGTAATTCAATCTAGCTAACTCCATGGAAAAGCCTAGCGGAGTCAAGGCCCAGGTAGATTTAACCTCCATGTACCTAGTAAAGGTCACTCCTGGTTTCCCCACCTGGGACTGATGGGCATTCTTGTTGGAGGGATGCACACTTCCATGACACAGAACAAAGTAGCTGATGAAAAACATTGTGGGCTTCACTACAAGGAAGGGTGAGCTGCAAAAGGGAAAAGCAGAGAACTCACCTGAAGGAGCTGAGACGCAAAAGTGCTGCCTTAAAGTTCACTCCTTGGGAATTAGGAAAAGGAAAAAAAAATCTTTTCTGAGCCCTAGACAAGATTTTCATGGTGTTTATCTCCCTTGCAGCTTCTCTGGTGATAAATAAGAGAAGAGCTGCGATGGAAGAATTTCCCGCACTCACAGCATTCATTGGGTTTTCTCTCCTGTATGGCTCCTCTGATGTGTAATAAGGCCTGAGCTCTGAGCAAAGGTTTTCCCACACTCACAGCATTCATAAGGTTTCTCCCCTGTGTGGATCCTCTGATGTGTAATAAGGCCTAAGCTCTGAGCAAAGGTTTTTCCACACTCACAGCATTCATAGGGTCTCTCTCCTGTGTGGATCCTCTGATGTATGATAAGGCCTGAGCTCTGAGAGAAGGTTTTCGCACACTCGCAGCATTCATAAGGTTTCTGCCCTGTGTGGATCCTCTGAGGGTGAATAAGGTGTGAGCTCCGAGCAAAGGTTTTCCCGCACTCACAGCATTCATAAGGTTTCTGCCCTGTGTGGATCCTCTGATGGACGATAAGGCCTGAGCTCTGAGAGAAGGTTTTCCCACACTCACAGCATTCATAAGGTTTCTGCCCTGTGTGGATCCTCTGATGTGTAATAAGGCCTGAGCTCAAAGCAAAGGTTTTCCCGCACTCACAGCATTCATAGGGTTTCTCCCCTGTGTGGATTCTCTGGTGGTGAATAAGGGTTGAGCGCTCAGTGAAGGTTTTCCCGCACTTGCAGTATTCATAAGGTTTCTCTCCTGTGTGGCTCCTCTGATGTGTAATAAGGCCTGAGCTCTGAGTAAAACTTTTCCTGCACTCACACCATTCATAGGTTTCAGAGTAACAGCCGTGTTAGTCTGTATTCACAAAAAGAAAAGGAGTACTTGTGGCACCTTAGAGACTAACCAATTTATTTGAGCATAAGCTTTCGTGAGCTACAGCTCACTTCATCTCTGGATTAAGTTTAGAAGTGTGTGCAACAAGAGTGATGTAGTGGTGGGAGTCTGCTATAGACCACCGGACCAGTGGGATGAGGTAGATGAGGCTTTCTTCCGGCAGCTCACGGAAGCTACTGGATCGCATGCCCTGATTCTCATGGGTGACTTTAATTTTCCTGATATCTGCTGGGAGAGCAATACAGCGGTGCATAGACAATCCAGGAAGTTTTTGGAAAGCGTAGGGGACAATTTCCTGGCGCAAGTGCTAGAGGAGCCAACTAGGGGGGGCGCTTTTCTTGACCTGCTGCTCACAAACCAGGTAGAATTAGTGGGGGAAGCAAAAGTGGATGGGAATCTGGGAGGCAGTGACCATGAGTTGGTTGAGTTCAGGATCCTGACGCAGGGAAGAAAGGTAAGCAGCACGATACGGACCCTGGACTTCAGGAAAGCAGACTTCGACTCTCTCAGGGAACGGATGGCCAGGATCCCCTGGGGGACTAACTTGAAGGGGAAAGGAGTCCAGGAGAGCTGGCTGTATTTCAAGGAATCCCTGTTGAGGTCACAGGGACAAACCATCCCAATGAGTCGAAAGAATAGTAAATATGGCAGGCGACCAGCTTGGCTTAATGGTGAAATCTTAGCGGATCTTAAACATAAAAAAGAAGCTTACAAGAAGTGGAAGGTTGGACATATGACCAGGGAAGAGTATAAAAATATTGCTCGGGCATGTAGGAATGTTATCAGGAGGGCCAAATCGCACCTGGAGCTGCAGCTAGCGAGAGATGTCAAGAGTAACAAGAAGGGTTTCTTCAGGTATGTTGGCAACAAGAAGAAAGCCAAGGAATGTGTGGGCCCCTTACTGAATGAGGGAGGCAAACTAGTGACAGAGGATGTGGAAAAAGCTAATGTACTCAATGCTTTTTTTGCCTCTGTTTTCACTAACAAGGTCAGCTCCCAGACTGCTACGCTGGGCATCACAAAATGGGGAAGAGATGGACAGCCCTCTGTGGAGATAGAGGTGGTAAGGGACTATTTAGAAAAGCTGGACGTGCACAAGTCCATGGGGCCGGACGAGTTGCACCCGAGAGTGCTGAAGGAACTGGCGGCTGTGATTGCAGAGCCATTGGCCATTATATTTGAAAACTCGTGGCGAACCGGGGAAGTCCCGGATGACTGGAAAAAGGCTAATGTAGTGCCAATCTTTAAAAAAGGGAAGAAGGAGGATCCTGGGAACTACAGGCCAGTCAGCCTCACTTCAGTCCCTGGAAAAATCATGGAGCAGGTCCTCAAAGAATCAATCCTGAAGCACTTGCATGAGAGGAAAGTGATCAGGAACAGCCAGCATGGATTCACCAAGGGAAGGTCATGCCTGACTAATCTAATCGCCTTCTATGATGAGATTACTGGTTCTGTGGATCAAGGGAAAGCAGTGGATGTATTGTTTCTTGACTTTAGCAAAGCTTTTGACACGGTCTCCCACAGTATTCTTGTCAGCAAGTTAAGGAAGTATGGGCTGGATGAATGCACTACAAGGTGGGTAGAAAGCTGGCTAGATTGTCGGGCTCAACGGGTAGTTATCAATGGCTCCATGTCTAGTTGGCAGCCGGTATCAAGTGGAGTGCCCCAAGGGTCGGTCCTGGGGCCGGTTTTGTTCAATATCTTCATAAATGATCTGGAGGATGGTGTGGATTGCACTCTCAGCAAATTTGCGGATGATACTAAACTGGGAGGAGTGGTAGATACGCTGGAGGGGAGGGATAGGATACAGAAGGACCCAGACAAATTGGAGGATTGGGCCAAAAGAAATCTGATGAGGTTCAATAAGGATAAGTGCAGGGTCCTGCACTTAGGACGGAAGAACCCAATGCACAGCTACAGACTAGGGACCGAATGGCTAGGCAGCAGTTCTGCAGAAAAGGACCTAGGGGTGACAGTGGACGAGAAGCTGGATATGAGTCAGCAGTGTGCCCTTGTTGCCAAGAAGGCCAATGGCATTTTGGGATGTATAAGTAGGGACATAGCGAGCAGATCGAGGGATGTGATCGTTCCCCTCTATTCGACATTGGTGAGGCCTCATCTGGAGTACTGTGTCCAGTTTTGGGCCCCACGCTACAAGAAGGATGTGGATAAATTGGAGAGAGTCCAGCGAAGGGCAACAAAAATGATTAGGGGTCTGGAACACATGAGTTATGAGGAGAGGCTGAGGGAGCTGGGATTGTTTAGCCTGCAGAAGAGAAGAATGAGGGGGGATTTGATAGCTGCTTTCAACTACCTGAAAAAGGGGGTTCCAAAGAGGATGGCTCTAGACTGTTCTCAATGGTATCAGATGACAGAACGAGGAGTAATGGTCTCAAGTTGCAGTGGGGGAGGTTTAGATTGGATATTAGGAAAAACTTTTTCACTAAGAGGGTGGTGAAACACTGGAATGCGTTACCTAGGGAGGTGGTAGAATCTCCTTCCTTAGAGGTTTTTAAGGTCAGGCTTGACAAAGCCCTGGCTGGGATGATTTAACTGGGAATTGGTCCTGCTTCGAGCAGGGGGTTGGACTAGATGACCTTCTGGGGTCCCTTCCAACCCTTATATTCTATGATTCATCGGATGCATACTACACTTTCCACAGTATGCATCCGATGAAGTGAGCTGTAGCTCACGAAAGCTTATGCTCAAATAAATTGGATAGCATTCATAGGGTTTCTCTCCAGTGTGGATCCACTGATGGTGAATAAGGGTTGAGCGCTCAGTGAAGATTTTCCCTCACTCACAGCATTCATAAGGTTTCTCTCCTGTGTGGCTCCTCTGATGTGTAATAAGGCCTGATCTCAGAGTAAAAGTTTTCCCGCACTCACAGCATTCATAGGGTTTCTCTCCAGTGTGGATCCACTGACGGCGAATAAGGGTTGAGCGCTCAGTGAAGGTTTTCCCTCACTCACAGCATTCATAGGGTTTCTCTCCTGTGTGGCTCCTCTGATGTGTAATAAGGTGTGAGCGCCTCCTGAACTTTTTCCTGCACTCACAGCATCCATAGGATCCTAATCCGGTGTGGATTCTCTGATGGCGAATAAGGTGTGAGTGCCTCCTGAACTTTTTCCCACACTCAAAGCCTGTATTATCTCTCTCTCCCGTCAGGATTCTCTGCTGGGCCGTGGTTTCCTTGAGGCCTTTGTGAGTTCCCTGATAGTTAACAGATATTCCAACTTTCTGCACTGGCTGGTTTCCCTGCTGCTTTTCTGGCCTGTGCTGCCCCTGAGAGCCTTTTCCCTGCTCACAACTCCTGGTCACACTCCCTGTGCATCTTTGCAATAACGCCTCATGCAGTTCCGCTTGCTCATCTTCCTGCTGAGGATTCTGTTCCACGGTCTCTCTCACCATCCCATCACCTGCAAGGACAGAGAAAGAAAAACCTCAGAAACCGGAAGGGAAAAAGAGGAGAACAAACCAAGAGAATAGCTGAAGATGGAAAAAAAACAGGGACTGAATTTCCCCAAACTCTTCCCCAAAGGGGCAAGAGGAGGGGATCAATTCTGAATCCAGTTCCCATCCAAACACGCCCCAGGGAGAAAGGAGCTTCAGGAGGGAACTACTGCCAGGAGTTAGGATGGGTAGGGAGCCAAGAACAGTATCTGCCCTGAGGATATGACACCTGCTGGGGACCACCCTGAACCCAGAGATCTCACAAGGTCTTTGTTGGGAATCCCAGCTGTTTCCTTCAAGCACTGAGTAGGTTTAATCATCCCTCACCCATGCGGCTGCCTCTCAGGATCTCTCTTTCCTCTGAGCCCCAGAGATCTGGGACCCACGGCTCTTCCCCTCGTTTCAGCTGGGAGATGACATCGGGTTTGGAAACTGGAAACCCTGCCCAGGGGAAAGACGATCAGTGAGATCAGGTAACGGCAAAAGAAGAAATTACTCAACTTGTGCATCAATGATGGTTCTTTGAGATGTGCCTCCCTATGGTGCTCCACTGTAGGTGCTAGCCCATTAAAAACAGCTGTGTAGACCGGTGTCTTTCCACACTACTGTGCCCCTTCCACAATTCCGATTTGTCTTGCGTACCTCCAAGTTACACCTCATTTAAAAACTACTTGCTTATAAAATCAGACAGAAAAATACAAAAGTGTCACTGCACACCATGAATTACTGACTTGCTCATTTTTACCATATAATTATAAAATAAATAATCGAAATATAAATATTGTACTTACATTTCAGTGCATATGTCAAGGTTCCTTCCCCACTCTGTACTCTAGGGTTCAGATGTGGAGACCTGCATAAAAGACCCCCTAAGCTTATTCTTACCAGCTTAGGTAAAAAACTTCCCCAAGGTATAAACTTTGCCTTGACCTTGAACCCTATGCTGCCACCACCAAGTGTGTTAAACAAAGAACAGGGAAAGAGTCCACTTAGAGACGTCTTCCCCCAAAATATCCCCCCAAGCCCTACACCCCCTTTCCTGGGGAAGGCTTGATAAAAATCCTCACCAATTTGTACAGGGGAACACAGACCCAAACCCTTGGATCTTAAGAACAATGAAAAAGCAATCAGGTTCTTAAAAGAAGAATTTTTATTAAAGAAAAGGTAAAAGAATCACCACTGTAAAATCAGGATGGTAAATACCTTACAGGGTAATCAGATTCAAAACATAGAGAATCCCTGTAGGCAAAACCTTAAGTTACAAAAAGACACAAAAACAGGAATATACATCCCATTCAGCACAGCTTATTTTACCAGCCATTAAACAAAAGGAAATCTAACACATTTCTAGCTAGGTTACTTACTAACTAACAGAAGTTCTGAGACTGCATTGCTGATCCGTTCCCGGCAAAAGCATCACACAGATAGAGAAACCCTTTGTTTCCCTCCCTCCAGCTTTGAAAGTATCTTGTCTCCTCACTGGTCATTTTGGTCAGGTGCCAGTGAGGTTATTTTAGCTTAACAACCCTTTACAGGTGAAAGGGTTTTGCCTCTGGTCAGGAGGGATTTTATAGCACTGTATACAGAAAGGTGCTTACCCTTCCCTTTATTCTTATGACAGCATAGTATATAGATCAGCATAAGCAAGTCGTATGAAATTTTACTTTGTACTGACTTAGCGAGTGATTTTTCCATAGCAACTCTGGAAGACCTCTGCGTACCCCAGGGGTACACAGACCACTGGTGTAGACACTGCAGCTCAGGCTTAAGAGACTGAGCTCCAGACAAATCTGCAACCTCTCTCTCTCTCTCTGTGTTGCCTTGTTTTTTTGCCCTGGATAGCAGCAAATTTAAGCCCAGTCTGTACCTTAGTACCTGTGTCCCAAAGTGCAGTGCAGTTGTGTTCCCGTGTTCTGCTTCCCTTGGACCCAGTCATTACACATTAACCTCCAGGAAATTTCCATTGTCCAGTGTGCTTCATACATATGTGGATAGTCCTTGATAATGTTTCCATGTAAATGGAAACAGGCCTATGCTACTTCAACAGGAATCACATCCCCATCCCAGAAGAGGAATTCATTCCTTCACACTCAGTGGCTAACAAAGCAGATTGAGAGGGAAGCTGACCCATGCATATTTTTCATTAAAAAAAACCCTACTAAATAAAGCCGCCATTCTCCAGAGGGAGACAAGGTCAAAGTGAAGGGCTAGGATAATGAACCATAAAATCACAGAAACGCACAGGGTAAAAGGACCTCAAGATGTCAGCTAGTCCATCCTCCAGCCCTGAAACAGGACCAAGTATACATAGACCATTGGTCTAACCTCTTCTTAAAAACCTCCAGTGACCAAGATTCCACAACCTCTCTTGGTAACGTATTCCGGTACTTATCTATATGCACAGTTGGAAAGTTTTTCCTAATATCCAAAATAAACATCCCATGCTGCAGAACAAGCCAGTTACTACTTCTTCCTACTCTAACCCTAAGCAGAAGAGGATAAGGGAAGATCAAATTTCAAGACGAGGACCATGGTCAGTGGTATCAGACAGCTGACAGGTCAAGGAGGAGAAGGAGGATGGAGTGCTGGTTCTGAGCTTCGCCTAGGGACTGGTCATTAGAGACTTCAGCAAAAGCAGCCTCAGTGAAGTGCTACAATCTCTGACTCCCTGAATGCTTCCCTTCCTACCCCTCACCAGACCCCCCTGTGATGGGTCGGGTCACAGAGACCCTCTTGTCACCTGAGGTGCTGGAACTAACTCTGAGCCCATTGCTCTGTCAGTTAGCGATGTCAAAAATTGCATCCCCACCTGACATAAATTGCAGCAAAAACTGTAGTGTCAACATAGTTACAGTGGCAAAAAAGTACATGAAACAGAAAAACAAGGAAATTAAAGGCCCATAAAGTACATTAAGCAGAGTTAAGGATGCCTAGTCCTACCTCGTGCCCTTCCAGCATGTGGATAGTGGTGAAAAATAAAACCTCTGAAAACCAGGAAATGAAGAATTAAACTACACATCACCCCTGCAATGTAACCTTAACTCCACCCCTACCCCCTAGCCCTGGAGCTGGAAAATATCACTGGGAATAGGTCAGGAAGGGTGGTGCCAAGGTTACCAAACTACCCAAGGAAGGGGCAAATTTTCCATCTCTTGCAGTCTTCAAGTCAGGACAGGATGCCTTTCTGCAAGATGTTTTTGTCAAACACAAAGAATTCTGCGCACTACAGTGGTAACTGGATGAAACTCCACAGCCTGTATAACACAGGAGGTCAAACTAGATAACCTAATAGTCTCCCCCAGCCTAAAAATTTATTAACAGAAAGAAGGACTAAGAACATGCCATTGGGTGTTTTACGTTCCTCAGATTTGAATACCAGCATTTCTCCCCATTCACTCCAGCAGTGTGCACTGTACCAGCTGCAGCTTTAAATGAACGGTGGAGGGACTAGTTGGAGCAGCTGGGCAGAGCTGTGCCACGAAGAGAGGAGCACGTGAAACTGTAAGGAACAGGTAGTCCTCATTTCAGTGCTGAGCGGTGTAGGTAACATCAATAAAGGCACACAAAGGCGTGTTCTTTCCACAAGGATTGTCAGCAGGCTGGTGCTGTACATGCTAGGGGTCTCCGGGCTCAGTAAGAGGTAAGAGAAGGCACGGACTTGGAAGGAATCCTCATTGGAAGGGTAAAGGGTTGGTGACATTTTGGAAGTCTGAGATGGACTGTGCGCAGTAGGCTCAGTGTCTGAGTGCAGGCCAGGGGTAGGCAGCTTCTGTTCCCTACATCAGACCTAACCCCAAGTTTTGTTTTAGCAAAGAGACGGTGTTAGCGTTTGTGCTGTCCTGCGCCTGTGCTCTGCTCCCAAAGCATTCTGTAGCGGGGAGGGTCGAGTGCAAAGTCTGTGTGTCATTGGCCTGTAGGGGTGTTGCTGAAACAGGGCAAAACTGAGGGTGCAATGTGAACCTTAACTCTTCATTTCCCCTTCTAAGAACCGAGGGAACAGGAATCCTTACCCAGTGAGGTGACATTCTCATAGTTCTCCTGCGTGACGTCTCTGTAGACGGCTCTCTGAGCGGGGTCCAGCAAAGCCCACTCTTCCTCCGTTAAATACACAGCCACCCCCTCGAAAGTCACCGGCTCCTGAAAGAGCAAGAGTTCCCCACTCTGCACCTGCTGCCCAGTGACAACCCCACCATTCACATGACATGTTGTGTGTTTTGTCTTGAGTGTCGTCTTGTGAGTTTGTGTGTCAGCATGTCTTGCGTGCCTTTTTGTGTGTCGTGTTGTGAGTTTGTGTGTCAATGTGTCTTGTGTGCCGTTGTGTCTTGTGTGACATGTTGTGTGTGTGACGTGTTGTGTGCCATGTTGTGTGTTTCCTTGAGTGTGTCCGTGTCATGTGTGAGATGTATTTCTGTATGCGTGACATATGTCACATTGTGTTTGAAACGTGTTGTGTGTGTTGGTGTCGTGTGTTGTGTGTGAATTTGTGTGTCGGGTTGTGTGTTGTCTTGAGTATTGTGTTGAATTTGTGTGACGTGTTGTGTGTGTTGGTGTTGTGTTGTGTGATTTGTGTGTAGTGTTGTGTGCCGATTTGTGTGTCGTGTTGTGTTTCCTTGAGTGTTGTGTGTCGGTGTCACCTGATGCGTGTGTGTGAGAGACGTGTTGTGTGTCGTGTGAGATATGTGCTTGTGTGTCTGTTTCGGTGTCGGGTGTTGTGTGTCGTGTGAGATGTGTGCTTGTGTGTCTGTTTCGGTGTCGGGTGTTGTGTGTCGTGTCAGATGTGTGCTTGTGTGTCTGTTTCGGTGTCGGGTGTTGTTTGTGACTTGTGTGTGTCGTGTTGTGTGCCATTTTGTGTGTCGTGTGAGATGTGTGCTTGTGTGTCAGTGTCGGGTGTTGTTTGTGACTTGTGTGTGTCGTGTTGTGTGCCATTTTGTGTGTCGTGTGAGATGTGTGCTTGTGTGTCAGTGTCGGGTGTTGTTTGTGACTTGTGTGTCGTGTGCCGTTTTGGTTGACGTGACGCATGACGTGTGCCATTTGCGAAGTGTGACATGTCATGTGTGTTTGTTGTGTGTGTGTGTGTGTGTGTGTGTGTCGGTGTTGTATGTGATGCTTTCCATGTCCTGTTGTGTGTGTATTGTGTTGTGTGCCATTTTGTGTGTGGTATGAGGCATTGTGTGTCCTGTTGTGTGTGTGTGTCGGGTCGTGTGTTGCATGTTGTCTTGAGGGTTGAGTGTGTGTGTGACGTGTTGTGTGTTGGGTCGTGTGTGTCGGTGTTGTGATTTGTGCGTGTCGTGTTGTGTGCTGCTTTGTGTGTCGTGAGACGTGTTGTGTGTGTCGTGTTCTGTGTGCTGTGTGTTTCCTTGAGTGTTCTGTGTTGTGTGTGATGTTTTGTGTCATGTTGTGCCGTTGTGTGTTTGTGTGTCGGTGTCATGTATTGTGTGTGACCTTTGTGTGTTCTGTTGTGTGCCGTTTCGTATTTCATGCGACATGTTGTTCATGATGTGCATCTTGCGACGTGTGACGTGCAACGTGTTGTGTGTGTGACATACAATGTGCGACATGCTCCATGCGCCGTGCATGCGACATGCTCTGTGTTGTTGCATGCAATGTGCGACGTATTGTGCATGATGTATGACATGCGACGCGCAAAGTGCGACGCGTGACATATGTGTGACGTACGACGTGCTGTGTGCCATTTGCGACATGCGACGTCTCATGTGTGTTGTGTGTGCGTCAGTGTCGTGTGTTGTGTGTGTGACATTTTGTGTGTGATGCTTTGTGTTTTGTGTTGGGGGTGTGTTGTGTTGTGTACCATTTTCTGTGTCATTTGAGGTGTTGTGTGTCATGTTGTGTGTGTCGGTGCAAAGTGTGACTTGTGTATGACGTGCGACGAGCCGTGTGTGTGATGTTTTGTGTGTCATTTTGTGTGTTGTGTTGTGTACATTTTGTGTCATGAGTGTTGTGTGTGATTTGTGTGTCGTGTGTGACAGGTTGTGCAACATGTTGTAGGTGTGCGAAGTGTGACTTCTGCATGACATGCAACGTGTCGTGTGTGTTGGTCGTGTGATGTTTTGTGTGCAATTTTGTGTGTCTTGTGAGGTGTGTGTGTCGGTGTGGTCGGTGTGTGCATATCTCACGTGCGTAGCATGTGCGACATGTGTCATTTTGTGTTGTCTTGAGTGTTGTGTTGAGTGTGTGTGTAACGTGTTGTGTGTCATGTTATGTGTGTGTCGGTGTCCTGTGTGATTTTTGTGCATCGTGTGCCACTTTGTGTGTCGTGTCACGTGTTGTGTGTGTCACTGCCGTGGGTTGTTTGTGTGTGTCAGTGCCGTATGTTGCGCGTGTAATGTTTTGTGTGTGATACTTTGTGTCATGTTGTGTGTGTGCCATTGTGTGTGTCGGGTGAGGTATTGTGTGTTTGTGTTGGTGCCCTGTGTTGTGTGTGACTTGTGTGTGTTGTGTTTTTTGTGTCATCTTGTGTGGGTGTGGTGTGCTGTTTTGTGTGTTGGGTGAGGTGTTGTGTGTTTGTGTCAGTGTCGTGTGTTGCATGTGACTTGTGTGGTGTGTCCCGTTGTGTTTCGTCCGTATTGTGCATGACGTGCAACACGCAACGTGCTGAGTGTGACATGCAACGTGTTGTGCTTGACGTGCAACGTGACACATTGTGCAACATGCTGTGTGTGCCATTTGCGACGTGCGAAGTGTCGTGTGTGTGTGTCTCCTTGAGTGTTGCATGTCAAGGTGCGTGTGTGTCTCCTTGATTGTTGCGTGTCAAGGTGCGTGTGTGTGTGTGTCTCCTTGAGTGTTGTGTGTCAAGGGGTGTGTGTGTGTCTCCTTGAGTGTTGTGTGTCAAGGGGTGTGTGTGTGTGTGTGTCTCCTTGAGTGTTGTGTGTCAAGAGGGGTGTGTGTGTGCACGCGTGTGTCTCCTTGAGTGTTCTGTGTCAAGGGCTGTCTGTGTGTGTGCGCGTGTCTCCTTGAGTGTTGTGTGTCAAGGGGTGTGTGTGTGTGCCTCCTTGAGTGTTGTGTGTCAAGGGGTGTGTGTGTGCGCGCGTGTCTCCTTGAGTGTTCTGTGTCAAGGGGTGTGTGCGCGCGTGTCTCCTTGAGTGTTGTGTGTCAAGCTGTGTGTCTGTGTGTGTGCGCGTCTCCTTGAGTGTTGTGTGTCAAGCTGTGTGTGTGTGTGTGCGTGTGTCTCTCCTTGAGTGTTGTGTGTCAAGATGTGTGTGTGTGTGCGTGCGTGTGTCTCCTTGAGTGTTGTGTGTCAAGCTGTGTGTGT